GCCCTCCGCAGCTCCCAGCTGGGAAAGTCATTGATGGGCCATTAGACACAGCATTTGGCACAGCAGCCCCCTGCCCAGGGGGTCCCCAAGCTCACGCCACCCCCCCAGAGCCCAAGGACAGGTGATTGTGGAGGGACTGTCTGCTGTTCCTCCTCTCCTCCCTCCAGCGCCTCCCATTCCCCAGAGAAAGACAGCACAGCTCCTCCGTGTTGCTGCAGTTTCATAAAAACATACATAAATATATTTCCATTTCTTTAACAGAGAGCAAAGCTGCACAGGCACCTATAAAACACACAGTCACTTCTCCACCCGGCGTTCCCTGCACAGGTCGTATAAAACATAGAAAAAGGGGGGGGGGTTGGAGAACAAGGCTGCAGGTGAAGCAGGGGTATGGTGCCATGCAGACCCTCGCTGGGGCGTGGGGAGCTGCCAGGGGGGGTCCTGCTGCACCGCTGGCCTCAGAACTTGCGTTTTCTCCGGCGGCAGCCTTTGGTCTGCTGCTGGCTGCCCAAGCGAAGAGCCACGTGCGGCTCCAAGTCCACCACACTGTCCGTGGCTTCCAAAAAGGAGACGCCAGGTTTCGCAGGGGAGACGTTGGAAGGAAGGTGACGAAGGGAGTTGGGGCTGTCCACCACCGGCCCCCCGGCTCTGGCCGAGAGTGCAGGGGGGGACTGTTGGTCTGCTATTCCAGGGAGGGGGGTCCCCGCATCAGCACCTGCAACAAGAGTGCACATCAGCACTGCCTGGCCACAGGTGAGGAGAGGAGGGTGCTGTTGAGAGCATTTCTCGCCACTCATCTCCTGTCCTTGGACCCGTGGGGGGAAGCACCAGTGTGCTGGCAGAGAGGGCAGCAAGCTGCCTCCCTGCCAGGAAGCTGGACATCTCTTGGTGCAATGGCTCAGAGCACAGCCCTACCCCTGCAAGGGCACTGGTACAGGCAGGGATGTGTGCAGCCAGCCAAAAAAAAAGTGTGTGCCTCCCAGGCGGGGGATGCCAATGGCCAGCCAAACCCAGCGCCTCCCGCTCTGCTCAGGAAGAACAGACTCCTTTGAGGGGAATTTGCCATCCCAGCACAGCCCAGGACTGCAAGGGGAGAGCTGGGAAAGGTCACCCAGCCAGGTAGGCACAGAAAGTAGCTTCTCACCTGCAGACTTGCTCTCCGAGAGTTCCAGCATCCTGAGGAGTCCCCTCTCCTGCCTTCTAGCGTCCTGCCAAGCCTCCCGCTCTGCTCAGGAAGAACAGACTCCTTTGAGGGGAATTTGCCATCCCAGCACAGCCCAGGACTGCAAGGGGAGAGCTGGGAAAGGTCACCCAGCCAGGTAGGCACAGAAAGTAGCTTCTCACCTGCAGACTTGCTCTCCGAGAGTTCCAGCATCCTGAGGAGTCCCCTCTCCTGCCTTCTAGCGTCCTGCCAAGGAGAGGAGAACCACCGTCACAGCACGGCCACGAGGGAAGCCTGTAGCCAGGGTGGCCCCGTGGCCGCACGTTCCCCTAGCCCACAGGGTCAGGCTGGGCACAAGTGGCAGTGCTGCATTTCCAGAGCTGCCAGCTGAGCACGGCCAGCTGCCAACAGGAAAGGCACTGCCCCGTGCCAAGCCTGACTGGTGCCTGAGCAGAGGCAGCTGAGAGCAGTTAATAAAGCAGAGCCCAGTAAGGAGGGAGGCCAGGGTGCAGGAAGCCACCCCCAAGCCCAGCAAGTGTGGGGCTGCAACAGAGAAACATGGGCACCGGGGGCTCTGCCACATCCCCCGGCACTGTGCCTCTGAGCGGGCTCCATCCCACTCCGAGGGCGTGGGGCTTGCTGTTGGAGGGAAGGACCTTCCTCCAGGGCACAACCAGATGAGGAACATGCATCTTGTGTCCCCTCTTAGCCCCTGTGAAGATGCAGCCGTGCTGGTCATGCAGGCTAAGGGCAGACCACCTGGCCTGGCTGGTTTGAGCCTTGCTGGCCCAGAAAAAGTCCCCTCTCTCCTGGCTGCTCCATGTCCCCAGAACTGCTCTAGAAGGCACCGGCATCCCAGCTGCAGGGTTGGAGCTGCAAAGCACCCCAAAATGGGCCATGGTAGGAACCCGCAAGCACAACAGTGCCACTAGGAAGCTTTCCAAAAGCCCAGCCCATGCTCAGGCATGACCTGGTCCCCCAGGGAGCTGCAACCTCGACACAAGGCAGGGTCAGGGAAAACACAGAGCCTTGCTGAACTGTCCCAAAGGGCCACCCGGCTCCAGCACCTTTCCCCCATGCCCTGTGCTCGCGCCTGCATGCAGGACCCTGCACACCAGCTGACTGTGGGGTGCAAGGACAGAGTCAAACAGCACCCACGGAACCAGTCACATGCAGGAGCAGCCGTGCCCTGCAGTACTCTGAACCACACAGCGCTTGGCTGTATCCCAGCCAAAATCATCAACCAGAAATCTCATCATTTGCATCTGAATCCCCAAAGGGCTGAGGCCTGTGATGGATTTAAGGGATTTATCGAAACTAAGACATCATGTTGCATCTTCATGCTGAGAATCACATTTCTGAGCGCAGGCAAAGCTGTGGCACTAGGGCTTTGCCCACAGGAACCAGCGGGAAGGCGCAGAAGGACCCTCTCTGTGCTCCCCCAGGACTGCCATGAGCAGGAAAAAGCACGGTGGGGGTCAACACCTGGTGAGTGACTGCGAACCAGCTGCTACCCACGCTCCTGCCTCCCACCTCCCCCAGCAAGGCACATCCCACACACCTCCACTGCACTCACTCCCCCACGTTTCTCCCGGGATGCTGCAGTTTGCTCCAGGCACTGAGCAGTTCCCTCTGCTCCAGCTCTGAAGCCTTCCCCATGGGAAAGGGCTTGTGGATAGAGTCGGATACGCTTGTTGCCCCCTCACCCTGTCAGCCGAGGAAGCCTGCAAGACTAAGGCGTGCTGTCTGGCAGCGGGACAGCCCTGGCTGCCTGCCTGCTGGAGAGGTTACTGGCAGGTCCGCTGGATTAGCTCACCCCTGGGAACAGTCCATGCTCTCACAGAGCATCACAGGAGGGGGGGCAACAAGTTCTCTGGCCACGGCAACCCACAGGGACAGGCAATCCTGCACCAGGTCAGCTCATCCCATCAATCAGGGAAAATGCTCCTGCTGCCAACCCAGCCCCAAACCCAGCGCAAAGCAAAGGAGACGGTCTGCAGGGTCGCCCCTCACCTTGGCGCTTCGCAGCCTCCTCGTTCCCTGAGCTTGCCTAGCAGCCTGAAGGCAGCTGTCCACGTGCCTCTGATACTGCAGCAGTGGCACCAGTGACTTACAGAGGTAGCACTTCTCACACCTGCCAGGCAGCAAAGGACAGAGCACTGCATTAGGATTCGCCCTGCACCGGGCTCCCAGCCACCAGCGGTGGCTTTCCTCCTCCAGGCCACACCACGGAGAAGACGTGTCACCAGATCAGGTCTTGCTCAGTGGGGTCAGGCTGGCACCAATCGCAAAAACTGAGTGATTATCAGTTTTCCCTGCCTGTTCCTCTGAATCCTGCTGCTGCAGCAGCGGGACGGTAATCAAATCTGCTCATCTAACTATCTCAAACACCACTGATTTCTCCCCAGACATAAAGCACCCTGTCAAAATCCACAGAAATGAAGTGCGAGGGCCTTGCAAAGGGGAGTTAAATTCTGCCTGAAAAGCAAACCAAGTGTGTTAAATCAGAGAGACATTTTACCAGGGCTGGATGAACTTGTCTGACTAGTAAATCAAGTCTTTCTCTGCACCATCTCCATTTTACATCGTGCCACGTTGGGAGAGGAATGCAGAGCACGCGGTCCTGCTGGGGGGCTGGCACAGCATGTTCCTCAAACCCCCTCATTTGTGTCGAAGCTGCCCAGGCTCACGCAGGACGACTGAGTGTGCTTGGGAAGAAAATTATCCCGGGTGAAAGGAGATGAAGGTCAGGCGTGGATTTACACAGCTACGCTCACTCACTTCCACACCAGCTCTCAGCAGGGACCAAGTCATGCAGAAGAGGGCACCGGTTCTTCAGGAGGGGAGTGTCCACCTGGGGAGCTATTCAGGAATGGACCATCTCCAAGAAGAGATGAGCCCCCAGGGACCAGCCCCAGCAGCATTGCTTTCAGTTTGATAAGCAGCACTCTCCTAGAAAAACTCACCCCAGGCTCTAAAATGCATATGGAGAGCCCCCATCGAGCAAAACTCCGCAGTACTTTTCCCGTATTTTCTTTCCAGTCAGTGCTGATTACCCAGATAATGTGTCTAAACAGAAGCTGTCCTCTCTATAATTAGCCTAATTCCATTAGTGATGTTGCCATCCACTGTTTGTAACAGCAAAATTGCTTCCATAGCAGGGATTTTACTGTCAGATCCTCTCTTATGATGCTTTGTGTGGGTGGCAGGAGGAGGGGCTGCATGGGAAGAGATTAAACAAAGCCATGCTATTCTGAAAGTCTAATTTAATTAAGAATATCACTACAGGTGCCATGTTGACAGCCTCCCTGTCCTAGCCTCTTCTTTACCCGGGGTTACCAAGCTCAAATCTCCCATTAGAAACTGGCTGAGTTAGCACCATTTTAGCTACAGCTCCCCCCACAGCAGCCAGAGACCACGCATCCCTGACCCACCATGGATTGGGCTGAAAGGAAATTAGTGCAAAAATAAACAATCTGAGAACAGCAAATTCCTCTTGCTTCAGTTTAAATATAGCCAGCACTGCAACAAGAGGCACTGAGAGCAGGCAATTTCTTATGGAAACATTGCTGTAAGGCCAAAAGCCAGCATTTATACAGGAATAAAGACATCCACAGGCAAGCTAGAACTGAAGCACAGAAACAATCTTCGAGGAGCAAGCATACCTACTTACTTGTCAATGTCTAAGGATGTTGGGCTGCGTTCACCACTGGCAGCTTTACTTCTTGCCTCTCTCTGACGCCGAGTGAGCACTGGAGGAAAAACAGAAAGGGTTACACCTGCCATCCACCCCAAAAGCATCCCTACACCATGTCTGAAGGCAACAAGTTTCAATCTCTTCCACCCAAGGCTGCAGCAGAAGTGATGCTAGAGGCAAAGAAATACGAGACTGGGATGGGCAGGGTCTTCTTTCCTGCAGAAGAGGTAGCTGGCCAATTCTCCTTTTTTTGAGGGGGAGATACTGAAGAAGTTACCTTCCCCAGACTCGGAAGCCAGCTAGCCATTTCACACTGTAACTTGTCTTCTGCCAGAAACAGCTGGATCAGCAGTATGCAGTTTACAGTAATTTTAAAGCTGACGCGCAGCAGCGCAACAGCCTGGGAGAAGAGTTCCACAGCTGCTCCAGCAGCACAGCACTGCTCCCTGCCAAGCTAAGCACCCGTGCCTACTGCAGTGGAGGGAGCGTGGTAACTGTGAGCTCGGGGGGAAGGAGAGCTGAGGCAGGAGCTGTGCGGAGGCACCAGCCCTTCTGCAAATGTGGTAGGAAGAGGGAGCCTTGCTGGGGAGGGATATAGCTCACGCTGGAAAGCAATGGTTACAACGCTTAGCCTACACTCGCTGCTTTTTCCACTGCCCACGTGAAACGGGGATGATCTGTACTACTGTACTACAGCTTTGTGGGGCCTCTGGATGAAGATCTCTACCAGGGCTAAGCACCAGTGGTGCTACTCTCCAGCAGCAGCACAGAAGGGCCAGCTCCAACACATCTGGGTAGCCAGCGAGATCCCAGCTGACCAGCATGCTGATGACGGGTCCAACAATTTCTGTTCCTTCAGCAAGCCTAAGCAGCCTTTCCAAACTTGCTCTCCAGGCATCTGCAGGGACCGTGTTGGAGCGTTGTCTCTTTCAGTCGAATTCCTCTCAGCATATTCCTGTTGACATGCCACCAGCAAAGATCCTCAGGGAACATATCAGATAGCTTAGATTGCTTCACCAGGGATGTTCAAGACTCTAGCTCCAAAACAGATGTCACAGTAAGCACTCTCGGGCAAGCTGGCTAAGGGGACAATGCAGGGAGCTGGTTTACAGCCTGGTAACATTGCTTCCCAAACTCTCTTTAGGAGAAAGGCCTGAATCCAAGGTACAGACTCAACAAACCTGCTCTTGTTGGCACATCATCTGTGATAAAGAAAGGGATGCACAAAATTTTGTGCAGAATAAAGGGAATCCTTCAGAGTTTTAGCAAAACCTCATTTCCAGAGTGTTAGGCAACCCCAATTTCTATCCACAATGATGACAGAACAGGGTCTTTCCCTTAGTAGCAATCACTGATCTGCAATCACGACCAGCAAACGCACTGCAAGATGCTCAGGAGCTGCTGGGGCTGACGGGAGACATCCACGCCAAAGAAACAAGCTCGAGCGTTTCCTAGGACGTGGCTATTGTCTCGTAGGTGATGACTGATACCAACAGCTCATTTCTCACACACACCGAAGCGGGTGTCTCTCTAGCGTAGCCTGGCCCAGATTCAAAGTGGCAGCCTGACTAGGAGGACTGATAACCATGGCCACCCCCCAGGCCATCCAGCCTCCCAACAACCCAACTAACACATGTGTTTGACAGCATGGTGAAAGCTGCTCTCCAAATCAGCGTGCACTCGTTAATATTCCTTTAACACCATCTCGGGAGCCTTGTGCACCAGCTCAGGTGTTAATCAGTTCTATTTTCTTCCAAAAGCAGTGAACACATCTGGCATAATGGGCCCATTAGAGATGTGTGGGACCAGCTCTGCAGCTGCCCATGGGAAGACCCCCAGCTGTGCTGCTGGAAGCAGAGCCACAGGAGAAAGAACAGGGCCAGTCGTCCAAGAGGCACGGCGAGGCAGAGTGGAGCCAGCCTTCCCCCTTCACATCTTCCCAAACACTGGCAAGGCACAAGCACTGCCAAAACATGCTGGCAGCCTGCAGAAAGGGAGTTAAGAACTTGGAAAAACACTTGCTGTGGGGAAAATCCCCACCACAGAGCAGGACCGACCCACTGTGTGATAGGATGTCAATCCCAGATGCAACACTCTTCATTGGGTCAGACACACTCTGTAGCCCGAGAACGACGTTTTCCACAGCTTGGCATTTCTACTGGTTGACAAGTCATCCTTGGGCTGCTTGGCTCCAACTCGCACCCTGGGGAAGAGGAGCAAACCCTCCCCAGCACAGTCCCGCTATCAGCGTGCCCACCCCAGGCACCTCCTGGGGCTGCCAGGTGAGGTTGAGACATGGAGCTGTGAGGCCGTAGTCACCAAGCTCCTCACCTCGCTGCACAACACACCTGCAGTTCACTGCACCAGCTTCCTCCTCATTCCCACGACCAGCTGTACCACTTTTTGTGCAGGATCCTATTAGTGGCAGGCTTGCCAGCATCTTGTCCTTTTTCAGAAGCAATGAAGCTTTCCTCTGCATCCATTCTGTTATTCTTTCTGCTGTATCAGTGCCACTTCTATTGATGTCAAGAGTACCAGCACTGCCGCTGAAGATTGACAGATGCATCACATTGCATCTGAGGCTTTGGGAGGAAGGGATATACCAAATCCTCATTTTCCTGGGCTCACTTGGGAACTGAGAGGTTGGGAGCACGTAGATGGAGAGCAACAGGAATAGAGTACATCCCAAAGCTCGAGACTATTTACTGTGCTCAGTAGTGGCCAAGACTTGCTTCCAGACCGAGACCAGCAGATTCCTGCATTGGCAGCAGCAGCAGGCAATGGATGCGGTGACTCCAGCGGAGAGCCCCTCTCACACAAGCCAACCCTTCAGCCGAGCGCATGAAGGAAGAGGGAGCTGGCACAGCACTTCCCTGGCTCCACTCATTCGCTTAGAATTAACACCAGTCACTGAGCTGGAAACCTGGGACCTGAACCTTCCCCAGCCTACTACACGCAACAACAGGCTCTTTTTTATTTACTCAGACCACAGGAAAATGGAAATTTGTGATCAGATTTTCATACTGCCCAGGTATGTGGTGGTCTGGGCATCCAGCCAGGGCAACCAGGTACATACATAGGGGAAGCAACTTGCCCAGCTAACTCATTTGAAAACTTGGCCTTAAATATCAGCCAGACTGAGCTGGTCTCCTGGTACAAAACACTGAAAGACTTTGGTGCACGACTAGAAAAGGGAAGAGAAATAAAATCAGCAAGAAGCCATCCTTTTGTAGTTTTAAAATAAAAAACACTGACAGCTATAGTCTACAGGACTGCATAATCTGCAGTTCTAGAGACATCAGGAGTAAATCCAATTATTAAGTCCAAAGACAGACCAGGAACCCCTGACCCAGTGCACCAAAGGAAAACTGAAGCTGTCTTTTCTTAACAGACCAGGACATGGCTTAGAGTGTAGAACTTAGATTTTTCTCTCACACAAGGCTGTGGCTGCGCTGTGGAGGAAGCCAGCAGCCAGCCAAGAGCACACAGCACTGCAGCAGTAGGGAACAGGTTCCAGACCCACACAGGAGCTGCCATTTGCTTCAAAAAACAACTCTCCCACTTCATTTTTCTCCCCATGCATTACCTTTACCTATGGGTTTTGTGCTAGCAAAAGATGCCAAGGTAACAGCCCTGGAAACAGAGTCCTTTTGTACCTGCACAGCTATGCTAGGCTACTGTCTGGCCTCTGCTCAGAGCTAAACATCACCCCTGCCTATTCACACACACACCCACCCACCCCCGACCAGCCCATCAGCCAAGACCTCTCCGGGTGACTGTTGCCTTTGTACAGCCGCCAGAAACTGGACGGAGGTGCCCCACAAGCCAGAGCCCCCGCAGGCAGGATTCTGCCCCGCGTTACATGCTGCTCCAAGTCCAGGAAGCCCCTGGTCCTGCAAAGAGTCTTGGTGCAAACAACACAGGCATCACAGACTGTTATGGCTAATAAAGCCTGGTCTCTACAGGGAAAATACTAGAATAACTGGCAATAGAAAACCCAAATTACTGTGATTTTGTCCCAAAACCATTGCTCTGCTTACAGCCATTATTGTAGACCAAAATCCCTTTTATTCCAGGCTAGTTTTCTTATGGGGGGAATTGTTCTGAACAAGTCAGAACAGCAGAGTAGCAATTCCAAAATAACTGCCCTTACAAACATCCCCAAGGAGACCAGTCTGGAAGCAGAGTGGAGAGACCAGCCTTGAACTTTGTCCTGCTG